CTGTACTATTTTGTACTGCTATTCCCTTTCTTATTTCTCCATGTGTAAAAGGAATTGAGGATAATAATTGATCTAATCTATTGCATTTTCCTATATTAGCAAGTTAAGTTGTTGATATAGAATAGATTCATAAAATCCTGTATTTCTTTGTTCCCTTCACCCTTAGTGAAGGAAACCAAGAACAAGCTCATTAATAAAACTATTTAATCATCATTTATTGACTACTATGTATTTGGGGTTTATATATCTATAAGTAGTATAGATAGGATCCCAGCCTTTGGAAAACTAAAAGTGGTTTAGAAAACCAAAAGTAATGTTTAAGTGGTTATTCTGAGCTGAAACTATATAGAAATAATTATTATATTTATGCAGACAGTCTGTAAGGATTTTGTACTTCAGTGATACAGAACCTCAAAATGAGACAGATCAGTGAAGACAAGAGTAAACAAGGAAATATTCATGAAGGTGAATTTGAAGTAGAGCTTTGATTAGCAAATAAAGTTTGATGAGACCCTTAGGAAGATTGAAGATATTCCAGAGATACAGTCACTAGCATACGAGTTTTCAGGACCTGAAAAAGACTATGGTGGTAGAATAAGAAAGGATGGCAAGTATGAAACAGAAGCATATGGAAAAATGGAAAGTAACTGCTAACTGCATGACCAGCAGATTCACAAAGAGAGAATCTTTGCCCTCAACACAATAATTTTATATTTTAATACTTATTAAATCCCAAGATATTATTATCCACAGGCTTTTTCTTCCTTTTTTTACCTTTTGCTTTTTATATTTCCTTCCTTTTATTTATTTCTTCATCTTCTGAATGCCATGAGCCCACTTTATATAAGAGTACAGTTTTAGTCATATCCATGTAGTCCTCTCTCTCAGAGGTGATTAAAGAACAAGTAGATAATGAGACAGAAGTGGCCACAGATGCAATGAGCTAGGGAAACTGGATTCCAGATAATACTCAACCTTTCTTTAAGCATTTTCATGCCCTCTCTAAAAGGAGTGGTTCACGACAGTGGTACAAAAATGGCAGCTAAGAAATCCAAACTGCAAACATTACCCAAATTATTTTCAATACCCAATTATACCCAAAGATTCTCATGCATTTCATGTAATAAGGGTAATCTTCTATCATTAATAAGCTAAATTAATAAAGGTGAGTCACTTAGAGATACAAGTTTGCCACCATAATTAAATATTTTTTGAAAACCAAAGATTATAGGGAGGACCAATGTAAAAATTGAGCAACTTTTTTATCTCACGCTTTCATATAAAAGAATTGCCAATTCAGTTCACTGATGTTTCAGCACTTGATATTTTGTTGATTTTGTTTCAGATTTGAAAAACTGAAATCTAAAGCCCTTATCACAAACATGGCATTCATATACAAAGATATATGACAAGCGTATGTAGACTATAGGATAAATATATGCCCAGAAGCCAATGATATGCAAATTTTCCTGTAAATTGTCTATTACTGTCACCACTTGTCAGCATGTCACCAAAACAGTAGCTATCTTAGACCATCACTCTCTCTAATGAGTAAATTAGAGGACTGTGGAAAAAGAAGAGTGCATATTTTTAACATAATCATAACAAAATTATGATGAAAAAAATCATAACTCAGAGTACCTGTGTCCTATTACAAGAAAATTTGTAAAAGAAATCCACTAAAAGGATAACCTAGGTTGAAATCATTATGACTACTTATAGAAGGCAAGGTATCTTTTCCAATGCATTTCATAGATGTCAAGATTGAAAGTGAGTTGTAAGAACATAGAGTTGTTATAACCTATACACAGAGGTAAACTATACATCTGGATTTATCTTTATCAAACTTTAAATAAATGTTGGTACTCCCTTTTCTGTTTATTCCTATTACTTCACCTATACAAACATGTATTACAGTATCCCATGAAAAGCTTCAAATTCTAAGAGCAATACACCCATGTAGACAATTCCAGTACATGGCAGCTTAGGTGTATTATGGGTGTAAAGGCATGTAATTGTCTTCCCTTGTTATAATGAGTACTGTTGTAGAAGCCTATGAAGATTCATCCTTCCTAAAGGGTCTTTTACAAGTTTCCTGTCAGTTTCAAAGTCAGCCTGGGGCTAAGGAGTGAAAATGGGAAGTATGTCAATTTAGAAAATACTTTTTAAGCCTCTACATGCAGTTAAGAGATTCTTGGTATTAGAATTTTAAAATTGCTGCTCTCTCAATTAGCAATATTATCCGTAAGATATTTAATTATTATCTTGGTTAACTAGTCCATTTGCAAGGAAGGTTCCAGTTCAATAATATAATACAAAGGGTAATTTCATAGAAATGAAATTCTAAGAAAATTGTATTCATTTATAATATTGTATGTTGCAAAAACATTTATTGGCAGGATTTTATTATCAGGAATTGTACTATGGTATAAAAATATTAGAAATATAGCAGGGAAAATATCCTCGAAAGAGAGGGAATAAAGAAAACAGGTTAATTTGAACAAGATATATTCCTGGCACTAATATTAATATGATTGAGCCCTGACCTTTGGAATATTGCATGCATTATTAATCCACTGAAGACAGTAGATAATATGACTTTATATGCTTTTTAGGTTATAATTTGCATAACTGGGGGTGTAGTTTATTTTTTCAGCGCCTTGCATGCTGTGAGTGCTCAATAAATACTAAACAACAATAATATGGTGTGTAGTGTGTGCCTGAGCCTTCATTTGCATGACCATCTGGAAAACTCTTGTGTTGTAAACACTAGTTTTATTTTGAGTAAGAATGAAATTACTGCAGAAGTTGTTTAGCATTCTTGGTTCAATTTTTTTCCTGCTCTTCACCCTTTCATTTGATAGAAAATATGAAATAATCCAAAAGTTTAAGGCTTTTTGATGTATGATAGAATATTTGGATAGATTATATTTACATGCTGACATCTATTTTATTAGATTAGCTTTTCATAATTTCTTTGGAAATTCATATGCTTTTAATTTTTATGATTTGGTTTTACTTTCATAAATTACCTTTCGACGTATATAGTAAGTAAAGAGGAGCTCTTTACTTGAAAGAGCTGAAAGGTAATTCGTTGAAAGGTAATTCTCAGGTGAACCCTAATTTTTCCAAGTCATTTAGTTATCTGTTTTTATAATTGACATGTAATTCACATACCATAAAATTCACCCTTCTAAAATGTGTAATCAAATGGTTGATGTATTCAGAGTTGAGCAACCATCACCACCTACCAATTTTTAAATATTTTTAACAGCCCCCAAATAAACATAATATCCATTAGCAGTGACTCCCCATTTTCCTCATACTCATCAACTGTAAGTCCCTAGCAACTACTAATCTACTTTCTGTCTCTATAGGTTTGTGTATTATTAAATTTTCATGTAAATGGAATCATACAGATGTGATCTTTGTGACTGGAGTTGCAGGATTCATTAATTTGTTTCTTTTGTATGACAAGTAATATTCCATTGTATGGATTTACACATTTTATTTATCCACTCATCAGTTGATGGATATTTGGGTTGTTTTAATTTTTTTGGTTACTCATGATTAATACTGATACGAATATTGTATACAAATTTTTGTGTACACATAGGCATGCAATTCTCTTAAATGTGTACGTAGAAGGGGAATTTTTGAGTCATATGCTCAATCAATGATTTACCTTTTGAAGATCTGCAGATTATTTTCCAAAGTTGCTGTACCACTTACATTCTCACCATTAGTACATAAGGTTGGACCTTGCCAATATTTGTTATTATCTATCTTATTGGTTATAATTATTCCAGTGGATATGAAGTGTTATCTCATAGTGGTTCTTATTTGCATTTCCCTGATGGCTAATATTTTCTTAATTTTAAACTGCTAAATGACGATCATAGCCTAAAAGTTATTAGAAGGTGTGAAATAGTTTGTATAAGAAGCACAGAAGTCGGGGGGGCAGGGGAAAAAAAAAAGAAGCACAGAAGTCAATTGAGACATAAAGGATAAAGGCAAATTCCTCCCCCAAAATCATTTGAGTGAAATCCATAATTATTTAAGACAGTCAGTATTACCAAGTAATTCCACAATCAAAGTATAGAAGAAGCAAGTAAAGTTCTGAAATCCTGAAATAAATTTCCATGAGAGCAAAAAGACATTGGTGGACCAACCCTAAGTCGGCATTTTTGCTCTAATAGAAAACAGACACTCTGTGTTTGGACATTTATCAGTCAGATTCCTGGAAGAAAACAAATTTCATTTTCAAAGGAGGCAATTAAAAAATTAATAAAGTATCCATTTATAAATACGTGGACAGGGTCAGGGGAAAAAACAAGGAATGGTGGAATATCCAGAAATTGGTAACAGTGCTACTCTAATCTACTCTCACTCTTATGTCTGAAGGGTCATAGCTAGGATACAGTATTTCTCAAAGCCATTGAGGGCTCTAATTGTGGGATAGGAGCCACCAAAGGGAACAAAGATCTTCCACAAAAGACAGCGGTCTTCACTAAAGCCACACTTCAGAATGTGCGGGTGAGGAGGAATAAAGACGCTGAACTTTCCCTTTCTCCATACTCCCAATCGTCCACCCAATATTGACCCTATTCAACCAGATGTCATAAAGCAAAGTCGCTTCTGTTTGAGATCCAGAGATGCATTCTTGGACATAGAACAGAGGAGGGAAGAACCGGTAGTGCATCTGGAGTGGTGACCAGATATCCTGTCCAGGGAGGAAAAGTGGAAATACGTCCTACATGCTAGCAGCAGCAAGTCTAGGGGAGGGACATTTCCAGTTCCCTATATTTGATCTCCTCTCTGCAAACCTCCAATGTTAATGGAGGCAATAGTAACATGGAGGAGCGTCACATGAAACAACTAAGTTCAACTCTAAGTGATTCCATCACTGGGATCTGTACCAAGCAGTGAAGAGAAGCAAATAAACACTACTCATGGGGGAAATATACTTTAGCGCCACTGAGAATTGAAAATTGACTTACTTACTGCATTCTCTGGGTTTCATCTGTGATCCTCTGAACCTTGTGCATTAGAGCTGGCAACAGAGGTGGAGCAACACGTTCTAGGAAAATACCCACAGGTAGCAGGGGCAAAATGTTCCTACTGCAAGTAGTACATCTGTACCTGTGAAATAAGAACAAATTTGTCTGGTCCTTGGTTTAAATGCTCTCTGAGTATTCTGACTGCATGAGAAAAGGGTCTTTCCATGCCAGAAAAGAGAGATAACAGAATTCATGCTACCTGGGTTGGTGGGGCCTTCGTAGTATTTATGATGATGATTACAGAGCTGCAATTTGCACACTAAACTGTAAGTCATGAATCTTTCATTAGTTTTCTCTATTAATATAAATCACATATCTTATATAAGCTCTATGTATGCTTTTGTTTATGCTGTTAGCAATGATACTAGAGCATAACGATAATTTAAAATTTTTAATTTTCTCTCATATATGGTTTGATAATTAAGCATATTTTCATATTAACAATGAGATTCAAAGTATAAGGACTATTATCTCAATGCATTTGGAACCAAATTCTGAATATCACCACAAAGATGTTCTACAAAACCAATGAGTTAGAGCTAAGAGAAAAGTTCTCAAGAAAAAGCCAAATATTAACAGGTTTGTAGCCTAGAAGATAAGAAAGGGGTTGTGTCTGATAAGGCTACACAACAGTGACTTCAGGAATAACCTGAGTGAATGTTCAGATTTAAAAACAAGCAGAACAAAACTAGCAAACATCTTTCATTTAACTTTACCTCATAAACACATATTCTCAGTAGGAAGCTCCTTTCAAGTCAGTTGATTTGAATTGAGAAATCTGAATTCTCAAAAGAGTTTATACCAGTCATATTACCCATCTTGCAGACATGTTCAATAAAAGCAGTGTTGTTCTTTGGGTAGCTCAAGTCTCCATGGATAATTTGTTTCCTAATCTTCACCCCCTCCCTCCACCTTAAGCACAAAAGATCAAATGGCAAACAGCATTTTGTAATTAGTTCCCTCACTAATCTAATATCTAATTGACTGGCATAGTAGTGTTTCACTTCTTCAGAGGATAAATGTGCCAGAAAATCAAATCATTCTAACATGGCCCCAGCCTATCAACACATTTCCTAATTGTTGGCAAATATGTGTGTGTTTTTACAAACACCTCACATGGTTTCATTTAGAAAAACTGTATTGCGTGGGTTGCTTTTTTTTTTAAAAACATATATATAGGTGATCCTGTTAATCAACACTTTACATAAGCATGTGTACTGTTCCTTCATTTTTATGCAAATCCTTTCTGCAACCAGACAGGTGCATTGTCTGCTTTCTATTCATCATCAAAAAATCCAATAACTTGGCTGTGTACCTACATCTGGTTAGGGTTTGACCCAGTATGTACTTGAATGTGGATTTCAAATACAGGCAGGTGTTGAGCCTATCAGAACTACCAGCAATTGGAATTTCATTCACCCCTGCAAAGGCAACCAGTGATTTAAAAAAAAAAGATTATAATTTGAAGTTTGATGTCTAGCTTCTTTTTCTTCAGGGGTGGAAGGAGGATTTGTTTATTTAATTACTGAAGCACCCTGAGTACTAGGGCCTCAAGAATTTTGTTATGCAGTGAAATCTGGCTATATAAGATTTGTAAGAACTGACATATAAAAAGAAAAAATGGCATTAAATTTCAAAGTCAAAAAAAATGTGCAGCCTATGTTTGGTGGTATATTTTTCAGTGTTTGCCCACAGAAATGGCCTTCTTCATAGAGCACAGAAGTCAGAAAAGAACTGAACTCTGGGGACAAGACAACAAGTCATTTATAACACACAGCAACACTGCAGCCCAGCCTCTCCTTTGCCTGCACCCCTTCCCCACCCGCCTCGTGCTGGGAGCAGGACGCTGATGCCACTACGCATAGGCAACTATTAATCAAAGAGCCCCTTTTGGATCCTCACATGTTGAGATTGGGCCTATTTTTAGTTTTCAAGGAACAGAACTGCTAACACATAAGGTCGCAATCAGTTTCTCCATAGCAATGAAGATTTACATGCCCACAAGAGAGGGTAAGTAAAAAACAAGAAAAGCTAAGATAGCTTTGGGAACTGTTGTCTCATCCATGCAAATAGCTTAAATGCCTGCAAAATAGGAAAGAAAGAAAATGCGACTATTCACATATCAATGACCAATTTATAATCACGTATATGTCTTTAATTTCTAAGGCAAATGCTTTGGGCAGCACAGGGATTTGGAAACAGGCAGAGAAGAGGAATAAGGGGAGGAGGCAGCTCTAGGGGAAGTCGAAGTGGACAAGCAGGAGCATAAACAGGATTTAAAACCATGTGATGACCTTGTACTGAGCACCAGAAAAAGGAATTAGAGAAGAGGACAAAGAGAGGGAGAAACAGGCAGACCTGGCAAATATTTTTTAAGGAGAGGAAAAGGAAGAAAGAGAAGGAGGATGGGAGGAGAAAATATAATTTGCCATTGCAGAGCATCCTTTCTAGCCGACTAGGTAGGATTTACTTCTGGAATTGACACAAGTCAGCTGCTTCCCACTGTGGCTGCATGACAGATAACTGATATGTCTCTGAAGCCAAAGGAACATGTCAAGTCATCATGAACCAGGGTCAATGAACAGCTTTATTCAGGTAAAGCTTTCTAAATGATGAACAATGTTCAGCTGAATCCTCAGGGTAAGAACACCTCTCCTACAATGATTATGAATTAGAGAATGGCAGACCAGAACTGAAACAGGAAAAATTGAGTGAATTTGATTGCTACTGAAGTTGCTTTATTGAATGCCTGAATTTGAGAGCTTATAGGAATGTACTAGTTTCAACTCAGGAGATCTGTTTGCAAGAGTCAGAGGTTAATCTGATCCATTTGTGCCCACTATAAAGATTTCAAACCTGTAAGTAGAATAAGGGAGGAAGAAGTTTAATCGAAAGGCCAAAGGTGGCTAATGCCACTCAGAAAGTCATTGACATTGGGAATGATATTTAATTCACTATGTTTTACTTCTTGTGAATAGTGGCTCTGCCCATTATTACAAAGAATATTTCTTCACTAAGGGTTCTGTGAACTGTCCTAACATTTTTAAATATTCTTTTCAGCACTAGTGGACTAACAGCATTAATAAAACTTTCAAAGTTGTCTAAATTGAACCTAGTGGGTCTTTGACATAAGTAGAGTTGACTCCATAAGTACACCCAAAGTCCTTTCAAATAATTGTATGTGATAACATCCAAACATTTATGGAAAACTTATTGTTTAAATTTTTTACCTAGATGTTGAGATAAAGGAAATATAGTTATGAATAAAAAGTGATCTCTGACAATGAAGAGCTTAGAACAAGGTAGAGTTTAAAAATACAAGTTCCATTAAAGAGCTTTTGTACAGCAAAAGAAACAGTAGCCAAAACAGGGAGATACCTCACTGATTGGGGAAAATTTTTGTAGACAATACTAATAATAAAGGACTGATCACAAAAATCTACAAAGAGCTGAGAAGACTCAACCAAAACAAAGTAAATAACTCAGTCAAAAAATGGGCAGAAGAGCTAAAAAGAAACTTCTCCAGGGAGGAAATGCAAATGGCCAATAGGCATATGAAAAAATGTTCAACATCACTTATAATCAGGGAAATGCAAATCAAAACTACAATGAGATACCATCATACACCAGCAAGAATGGCATGTATTTAAAAAACTAGCAGCAACAGCATGGTATTGGAACAAGAACAGACACACAGACCAATGGAATCGAATAGAAAATCCAGAAATAAACCCACAGATTTATGGTCAACTAATCTTTGACAAAGGAGCAAAGACTATGCATTGGAGCAAAGAAAGTTTGTTCAATAAATGGTGCTGGGAAAACTGGGTCGCTACATGCAAAAGAATGAAGCTTGACCACTACCTCACACCATACACAAAAATCAACTCAAAATGGATTAAAGAACTAGACATAAGACCTGAAACCATAAAATATATAGAAGGAAATATAGGCGAAACACTACGTGATTTGCACATCAAAGACATCTTTACAGACACATCACCCAAAGCAGTGATAGTGAAGGCAAAGATAAACAGCTGGGACTACATCAAATTAAAGAGCTTCTGCACAGCAAAAGAGACAATAACAAAAACAAAGAGAAACCCCACCAACTGGGAGAACATTTTTGCACACAACACTAATGATAATGGACTGATCACAAAAATCTGCAAAGAGCTGATGAGACTCAACAACAACAAAGAAAATAATCCCGTCAAAAAATGGGCAGAAGAGCTTAAAAGAAACTTCTCTGAAGAGGAAATGCAAATGGCCAACAGGCATATGAAAAAATGTTCAACATCACTTGTAATCAGGGAAATGCAAATCAAAACTACCATGAGATACCATCTTACACCAGTGAGAATGGCACATATTAAAAAAAACTAGCAACAACAAGTGTTGGCGAGGGTGTGGAGAAAAAGGAACTCTTCTGCACTGTTGGTGGGAGTGCAAACTGGTCCAACCACTATGGAGAGCTGTGTGGAGATTTCTTGACCTACTAAACATAGAGCTTCCATATGATCCAGCAATTCCACTCCTAGGTATTTACCCAAAGGACACAGAAACATCAATTCCAAAGAACACCTGCACCCCTATGTTTATAGCAGCACTATTTACAATAGCTAAGCTTTGGAAACAGCCCAAATGCCCAAAAATAGATGACTGGATCAAGAAGATGTGGTACATATATACCATGGAATATTACTCAGCATTCAAAAAAGATAAACACATGCAATTTGCAGCAACATGGATGGCGCTGGAAGGGATCATGCTCAGCGAAATAAGCCAAAAAGAAAAAGAAAAATACCGGATGGTCTCACTCATAGCAGGAATCTAGAAAACTTAAATAAGGGACCAGAAAAATGAATAACTATAAGAAAGCGAAAATCAAAATCAACAAAAAACTATGAACCAGAGACACTTTTTGGGGGGTGAGGGGTGGGAGGGGAGGGATTGGGGTCAAAAAAAAATAGACTAATTGAAGGCAATACTGTTGACCATCTAAAATATGTAGTAGATGTCCTTTATTAACATAAAATGCTCACTGCATATTTTTCTATTAAAATAACAGGTTGCAAGACT